GTGAATTTGGCAAAGCAAATGCTAAAAGAATTTTGTTCTAAACAAAGTGCTGCTCCAACATCTCAATTTTCAAAAAAAAAGGAAATCAATGGACGAAAGTTCAGAAAATGTTGGAAACCACATGCTTGATGTCCAACCGAATCGTTGACGCTGTCACTTTTGCTCTTCAAAAGATCATCAAAAGCGAACAAATGTTTCCGTAAATTCCACGGCAAGTAGATTTTATTAGTAGAAGTGTTAAAATAGAGTTCTTGGCGAAGGTTCACTGTAAAAAAAACCTAACGCGCCTTATTCGGAACCTCTTAGGTGGTGTGGAAGACCGTCACCGCTGCAAACAATTGAATTGAAAGTGAGAAAAATTTAAGAATTTCTAAAAAATTTTTGAACAAACTCGATCCGTCATTTTGAATTTTGAAAATCTGACTGCAGATTCGTAATCAGCGACCCCAAAAACTCCCGAGTGATAAGTTTTAAGGGGAACAGATAAAATTTTGAAAATTTGTCCACCATATTGGATCCGACATTTTGAAATTTTAAAATCTGACTGCAGATTCGTAATCAGCGACCCCAATGTGACGTCCCGGTATGTCAAAACCTCACACTTTTCTTTTTGAAATTTGTCTTAGGATGAGGGATGCAGAATGTCCTAAAAGATGTAATTATATTTTAATTATGTATTGTTGTGTATGTAAGAATGTTTTCCCCGTGTAAAAGAATGTTGTATGAATGAATATTATATTTTATTATTTCTACTTATTTTATATGAATATCATTTTACTCAATTTATTCTTTTATACAATTTTTACACATCTTTAGAATTTCAACATTTTTATTTATTATTCAAACATAAAGAATAAATGTTCGACAATCTGGTTCCTGGGGTTTTCCGTTCACATTTTCAGGAAACACGCAAAATCCTTTTCTTTTAATAAAAAAATACCATAAAGCTGTTTCAATAGAGAAAAAGCCTAAACTAGAAAGAGTATTGATACACATAAGGATCTTAATCCCTAAATTTTAAGATCTCAATAAATAAAACATCTAAAATGAACAAATGCAATAAAGGATCTTGCATTCTCAGAAATGACAATTCCTTAAAAGTGTGCGAGTTAAGCCTTGCAATAAAATTACAATTAGACAAAATAGCAAGGGGCCCAACTCCGCACATAGTGTAAACATTTGTTGGCCAAATGTTTTATTGCACGTCCACCTCAGCGTTTGCCTGGTCCACGTGGACACTAAGGGTTTTTAATACTCAATTTCTATTTTTAGGGCGTGATTTTTATGTTGTTTTCAGCAAATCAGAAACCTTAATTTTCTTCTTTTTCCAAAATTTTCCCGCCTCCTTTAACTTTTGGCAAGTTTTCTTGAGAGTGGGAATGAACGACGCGGTTACCCGGAGCGTCGTCCAACTTCTTTTAATCAGTCTCTTTTCGGTCCCTGTTCGCGAAATTCGGAATTGGTTCCCTTCCTGAACCAATAATTTCTTGAGGTTCGACCTTAGGATTTTCAACGAGATTTGGACTGAAAACGCGCTCTCTTATCACTGTATAATTCCTATTTGTTAAAGGTTCGAACTTAAGATTTGTAGCATGTCCAAATCTCAGTGATCTCCTATAACAGTATAAATCCTCGGAATTAATATTTGGTTCAGGATAGGATCTAATCTCCGGTTTCGTGAATATACCGTTTTTCTTTAACTTTTATATTCATTGAAATTTTATCTTGTCAACTTTTATTCTTTTCAAACTTATTAATTTTATAATTTCACCCTTCTGTTTATTAGATTTTGTAGTTATCAATAAAATTCTTAATTGTTCTTATATGTGAATTTTGTGTATTAATGTGTTTCGTCGAGAAATCTCATTGTGTGCGTAAGTTTGGTAAATAAACAAACAATTTTAATTCAACCTAACTTATTTTCTCTTTCCTTCTATTTTATTATTTAATCCTCTAATAACAAAAATAAGGTGAGTTTCAACTCTTTATAAGTAATAAGATCCCACAAATTCTATTTTTTAGCCGCTCGAAGAATAGAATTCAATATATAATAAAGGATATAAATTTAATTGTCTAAATTTTGAGGTTAAGTTCTTAATTTTTCTTTAATTATTTTTCTTATTCTTTATAATAAATTATTTATATGTTGCGAAATCAATTAGAAATTTTGGTGACGAACTTTTAGTTTTTCTTTTAACCTTTATTTCCATGCCGTTACGTAACACCAAAAACCCCCGAGTGATAAGTCTTAAGGGAAACCGGTAAAATTTTGAAAATTAGTCCGCCATTTTGAATATTGAAAATCTTACGTCAGATTCGTAATCCACGACCCCAAAAACCCCTGAGTGATGAGTTTTAAGGGGAACAGATAAAATTTTGAAAATTTGTCCGCCATATTGGATCCGCCATTTTAAATTTTGAAAATCTGACTTCAAATTCGAAATCAGCGACTCCAAAAACCCCCGAGTGACGAGTTTCAACAAAATCTAAAAGCTAGGTTGCCCGGGGTCACGAAAGGGTTATATTCGTAATCAACGACCTCAAAAAGCCCCGAGTAACGTACTTCCAAAGAATTTGTTTTAAATTTAATTTTTTGTTTCAACATATTGGATCCGCCATTTTGATTTTTGGAAATCTGTTATTATATTCGTAATCAGCTAACCCAAAAACTCCCGAGTCACAAGCTGATAGAGATTTTGATTATGTTTTAATTTTTTTCTATTCGTTATATTTTATTTCGTATTTTGAATTTTGGAAATCTGTTATCAAATTTGTAATTAGCGACCCCGAAAACCTCATAGTAACATTTTTTATGAATATTCAATAAATTTTTAGCATTTTTTAGGGCTTTGTACCCGAAGGGGGAACCTTATTAATGAGGCTAGTGAAGCAAGGCATGTACCCCCCCCTAGCGGCCACACGAATTTATCTAAAGGGCTAAAATTTGGTACACATATGTATTTCGGCCTGTAGATTACAGGAGAAATATAGCGAATCTCATAGGAATTGATTATCATAGCTAGTGAGTCAAGGAAAAACCATGAATTTTTACGAAAAATCCCTAAAAATGACTATGTACCCCCCCCCCACTGGTGGCCACATTTTTTTACATAGAGAGATCAAATTTGGTACACTTATGTATTTTTACGTAAAAATTACAGGAAAAATATAGCAAACATGATTCGGATTGATTTACACAGCGTTGTCAAGAAAAAATCAAAAATTTTGAAAAAAAGCGTTTAATCCTCCTAGCGCACACACTATTTGTCCAAGACAGTTCAGACTTGGTATGCATACGTATTTTTGCGTATAGATTACAGAAAAATGTAACGAGCACGATTGGACTTGATGATCATAATGTTTTTAAGGAAAACTCATATTTTTAGAAAAAATCATGGATTTTACGAATAAACAATCAGATTTTTCCTTGACAACGCCATGTAAATTGATCCGAATCAAGTTCGCTATATTTTTCTTGGAATTTTCATGTAAAAATACGTAAGTGTACCAAATTTGAGCTCTTTATGTCAAAAAGATGTGGCTGTTAGGGGGGTGGTACATAGTCATTTTTAGGTATTTTTCGTAAAAATTCATGGTTTTTCCTTGACAACGCTATGATAATCAACTCCAATCATGCTCGCTATATTTTTTTTGTAATCTACACATAAAAATACGTTAAAATAAATAAATTTAAATTCCTTTAAATAAAATTTTGTTCGTTTTTGGTAGAAAAATACATTTTTTTCCTAAAATTGTCAATTTTTCTTGAAAAACTTGATAAAAAGTTAATCATCAACACTAATCGTGATCGCTTTTTTTCCCTGTATTTTTCCCGTAAAAATACATATCCTTAATAAGAAATCTCTAAAGAGTAACGTAACGCGTATCCCATTGGTCGGAACTTGAACTAACGCGTATCCCATTGGTCGGATCTTGAACCTGATTCTTTTCTCCCTTTCATCGTCGCGTTAAAGTGAGACACATTCTTTTTTTTCTATTTATCCACGTTCTGTTTTCTGAGTGTTTATCATGAAAGCACGTTCAGAGGATAATTTGAAATTTAGGAACGATCTTTTTTATCGACACATGGAAAGTTTAAGTATACGCTCTATAGGAGAATAGGAAAACACTTTTTCTTTTAAAGTATTATTTTATCGACCTAATATTTAAAATCCTTCGGTGTCTCAGTTGCGCCCAAAATGAAGTACATTATTATTTTGAAAGCGATACGCGAAAGTCAATGGAAAGAAGCAATGCATCTGAAACTTATTTTTAGATAAATTTTTATATTTTAATATTTAAGTGAATGTTTATTTAACAATGTATAGATTAACAGTGTAAGTGTAAGTGAAGAAGTTACTTTGAATTTTTATTTAACAGTGTATAGATTTACAGTGTAAGTGTAAGTGAAAAAGTTACTTCTCTTATGAATTTATGAGTGTAAAATGATTAGCAGTGCTTATTAAATATTTTAATACAACTATAACATATTTTGGATCATATACTTCTTCAAAATGTCAGGTAATTAATATTTTCTACTATAATTTATATTTCTTTTACTTTATGAAGATTTATATGATTTTATATTTATATGAGTTTCTGAGATTTATATGAGTTTATGAAATTAACATGAATTTATGAGATTATATTAGTTCATGAGTTTATGAGATTTATATGCGAGTTTATGAAATTTACATGAATTTATGAGATTTAAAATTTACATGAATTTATTAGATTTATATTAGTTCATGAGTTTATAAAATTTATATGAGTTTATAAAATTTACATCAATTTATGAGATTTTTATGAGTTAATGAAATTTACATGAATTTATGAGATTTTTATGAGTTAATGAAATTTATGAGTTTATGAGATATACATGATTTTTTGAAATTTATATGAGTTTATAAAATTTATATGAGTTTATGATATTAATTCATGATGTTATGAGATTTATATGAGTTTATATAATAATAATATATTTTTATAATTCGTGCACTATGCCGCGTAAATTAATGCGTTCTAAAGAAGATGAAGAAGAAGTACAAAGAATTCGAAGAGAAAAAAATGCTGAAAGACAACGGCGTTATCGTTCAAATATTAAATCCAAAAATATTAATCAAGTCGAAGTAAGAAAACAAAATGCTGAAAGGCAACGTTGTTTTCGTGTAAGACATAAAATAAATGTTCAAAATGTTCCTAACAATATTGAAATTAATTCACAATCTACATCTCAGAGTAATAATATTGAAGTCAATTTGTCCAACAATATTGAGGAATCTATAACAGAAAATTATTTAGGAGAAATGAACTGTATTTGTATTCATTGTAATGCAAAACATTTTTCAGGAGAAAGAGGAAATTATAAAGGATTATATTCATTTAATGATTGTTGTGGCCATGGAGGTGTTATTCTTGACAGTATGTCGAATGATTTTCCTTCTGAATTAAAATCTTTATTAGATGGATCACATTCTAAAAGTAGGAGTTTCCATTCAAAAATTAGGGGTTATAATAATTCATTTTCTTTTGCTTCTTTAAATGCAAATGTTGTAAAATTTAATGGAAGACGTCCTGGACCTTATTGTTATAAAATTCAAGGTCAGATTTATTATCAAATGAATAATGCTTTATATCCAGAAGAAGGAGACAATCCATCTTTTGGTCAACTTTTTATTTATGATGCAAATGAATCTATTGAGCGCAGATTAAATCAAAACAATCAACTTGACGTTGAAATTCTTACAATTTTAGAAACAACTATGAGAAATTTTAATGTTTTTTCAAAATCATATAAAATGATGTCAGAGGTTATTGAAATTGAAAACCAATTAGCTATTCAAAGAAATGAGCAGTTACCTGAGTTGCAATTGCTTTTTACGTTAAAAAAGGGAATGGATCATAGGCGATTTAATTTTCAGAGGACAAATGAGGTGGCAGCCATTTTTAAAACTAATTCAGAAGGAGAAATTCCGGAATCTTATGTTACAGTTTACAATAATTGTTCAAAATCATTACAGATAGTAAGTAGTTTAGATCCTAATGTTGAGCCATGGACATATCCGATATTTTATCCGTTGGGCAATAAAGGATACGATATTAATATGCTTAGGGTAGATAGGGATAACAGATCGAAAAAGCATAAAGTTAGTAGAGCAGATTATTTAAAGTATCGTATAGCTTTAAGGGATGAATTTAATCAGTTTTTATTAGGAGGAAGATTGTTTCAACAATGGTTGGTAGATAATTATGTTAAAATTGAAAAAGATAGATTGCTATATTTTCGCAATAATCAACTTAAAATTAGAGCAGAATCATACAAAGGATTAATTGATCATTTGCAACATCGAGCTGATGATATAGACACACATGTTGGTAAATTAGTTGTTTTGCCATCAACATTTATTGGTTCTCCTAGAAATATGACACAACTTTATCAAGATTCGATGGCAATTGTAGGTAAACATGGCAAACCTGATTTATTTATTACCATGACATGCAATCCGAAGTGGAAGGAAATTGAAGAAAATTTATTACCTAATCAGACAGCCTCAGATAGACCAGATATTGTTGGAAGAGTATTTGCTCTAAAGGTCGATTGTTTATTAGATGTTATTATAAAAAAAAAATATTTGGAGATGTATTATCTTATGTATCTGTAATAGAATTTCAAAAGAGAGGTTTACCTCATATTCATTTGTTAGTAATATTAAAACAAAATTCAAAATTATTGACGCCAGATAGTGTAGATCGTTATATTTCTGCGGAAATTCCTGATGAAAATTTGCATCCTTTATTACACAGTATTGTAATAAAAAATAATATTCACGGACCTTGTGGAGATTGGTGTTTAAAAGATAATAAATGTTCAAAACATTTTCCTAAAGATTTTAACTCAGAAACAACATTCACTTATAATAGCTTTGTTAATTATCGTCGAAGAGATACGGGAAAAAGTTATACTAGACCAAGTGGATACATAGTTGATAATCGACATGTTGTTCCGTACTGTCGTGAACTCACTTTCATATTTAATTGTCATATTAATGTTGAGGTCGTTTCCAGCATAGATTCAGTAAAATATTTATATAAATATATTTACAAGGGGCACGATGCAGCAGCAATATTAATTACTGATAGTAATGGTAATATTACTCTGGGATATGATGAGATTAAGCAATATGAAGAAAATCGATATGTCGGGCCTGTTGAAGCATATTGGCGTATTGCGTGTAAAAATTTATTTAAAAAAAGTCATAGTATTACTCGTTTACCCGTACATTTACCTGAAGAACAAAATATTATCATCTCTGAAACCAATAATGGGAATAATGTTTCTTTTAATGTCAATAAGAAAAGTAAGCTTGTAGATTATTTTGATTTAAATGTACGTGACTTAGACGCTTGCAATTTCTATTATACTGAAATTCCAGAATACTACACTTGGAAAGAAAAGGATTCTAAATGGGTAAAACGTAAAGGTTTTGATAATACAATCGGACGCATGTATTCCGTTAATCCTTGTCAAGTCGAATTATTTCACTTGCGGTTATTGTTATTGTCAACAAAAGGAAAAAAATCATTCGAAGATTTATGTACAGTAAATGGTGTGTTTTATGATACATTCAGTTCGACTTGTCTTGCGTTAGGACTCATCGAAGATGATGATGAATGGAGACGAGCTTTAAGTGATGGTGCTTTATGGAAAATGCCTCAAAGTTTACGAAGATTATTTGTTAGAATATTAATTCACTGTCAGCCAATTAATCCTCATGAATTGTGGAATGAGTTTAAAGATAAATTTTCTGAAGATTATTCAAGAAATTTTGGAACTCTCGAAGCTCAAAGTAAGGCTTTTTTCAACATAAAATCTTTATTAAGTGAAGAAGGTTATAGTTTAAAAGAATTTCCCAGTTTGGAGTGTATTGAAAAAGATTATATGGAAATTGAATTTCAAAACGATAATATTTTTAATCATAATGAAAATATTATTGGTGCTCAAAACTATGATCTATTAAATATCAAGCAGAAAGAAATTGTTGATTATGTATTAAATATGCTACATAATTCAAATGAAAGTTCCAATAAATGCATATATATTGATGGACCTGGCGGTTGTGGTAAAACTTTTTTGTATCAAACACTTTATTTTTTAATAAAAAATATTGGCAGACATGTTTGTAACATGGCATTTACTGGAATAGCTGCTACTTTACTTCCAAATGGAAAAACAGTACATAAAGTTTTTGGGTTACCTGTACCTCTTTACAGTGACTCTTCCTCCAGTATAAAAGTAAATTCAAAAGAGGGAGAATTTTTAAAAAAAATCGACGTTTTTATTTGGGATGAGGCACCAATGGCACCGAAGTACGCATTGGAAATTATGGATAGAACTTTAAGGGATATTATGAAATCAAACATTCCATTTGGAGGAAAAATTGTTATTTTAGGTGGAGATTTTCGTCAAATTCTTCCAATTAAAGAAAAAGGAACAAAATCTGAAATTATAAATTTATCAATAAAATTCAGCAAAGTTTGGAAATTTTTTTTGATTTATTCCTTAACTGAAAATATGAGAGCTTTGCCAGAAGAAAAAGATTTTATTGAATTTTTATTAAGCGTCGGAAACGGTTCTACTAATGATGACAATGATATAATAAAATTACCTGAAAGAATTATTGCTCCCCGAAATGCAGATATCGTTCAAGATACATATGCCGAAGTTATTAGAAATAAACGTTTCGATGAACTTTCACAATTTGCAATTTTGTCTGCAAGAAATGCTGATGTAGATGAGATAAATAAAAGAGTAGTACAATTGTTAGATAGTGCGGGAGAAACAAAATTTACAAGTATTGATAGTACTGAAAATTGTGGTAATGATAATAATACTGAAGTTATTTTACCAGAATATCTTCATAGTTTATCACCACCTTCCCTTCCGCCGTACGAATTAAAATTAAGAATTAATACTGTTGTAATACTTATTAGAAATCTAAGCATTAACGAGGGTTTGTGTAATGGTACAAGATTATTAATTAAGGGTTTATCCAACAATCTTCTTCAATGTGAAATATTAACTGGTGATAAAAAAGGTAAAATTGTTTTTTTAAATCGTATTTCATTATATTGTGAAAATATTTATCCCTTCACATTTAAAAGAAGACAGTTTCCCATTAAATTAGCATTTGCTATGACCATTAATAAAGCTCAGGGACAAACATTTAAAAAAATTTCTTTAGATCTAAAAAAAGACGTATTCAATCACGGACAATTATATGTTGCAATTTCTAGAGTGCGTTCCTATGACAGTGTAAAAATTTATTTAGGTTCTCAAAGAAGTGAAAGTAATATAAAAAATTATGTATATAAAGAAATTTTCCAATGGATTTAAAAAATTTTTTGCCCTTCCATAATAACATTACATTACAAAGTTTTAATTTTTATAATATTTACAATTTCTTTTTCTTATAAACAAATAAAAATTACTTCTTCATGTGGGCATATTTCAAATTTCAATACAATTATTAGAAAATGATATTTCAGATGTTCTATAATATAAATATCTTTAACTAATTTAAATAATATATAATAAAAAACATATTCCTTGAATAATAATTTTGATAATTTCTTAGTATAATAATTTTATTTCTTTATCCTGCAGAAATACTATTAAATTTCTTAAATAAACTAGATATGCCTCTTAAAGTCTTATGTGTAGTGTGCCTTTATTGTGGCAGATAATTGAGTTAAATAAAATAGTTTTTGCTCTTGAAATATATTCCTTAACGATGTAGATTTCAAATGAAACTCAAAACTCCAAAGGATCATATTACTTTCGAACCCCTCTTGTTTAATATTTTTTAGTTTCTTCATCTATTGCTGACTATATATTTATTCAATTCTACAAATTTTGATTAACTATTTCTATATTGCTTTAAATACTTCTTACTTTAATATTTTATTTAACCAAAAATAACTATGAACATGAAGTAAAATAATTTTTGCGATATTTCTACGAATTTCATTAATAGGTGAGTTCTTTTATTTTATATTATTTCATTATTTTTCTATTTTTTCCTACTATTTGTATACATTACTCATTTTCTTATTAATTTTCATAATAAACAAAAAAAATTTCTTGCATTTTAATTAAATATTGCTTGACTTTTCAATCATAACATATTAATAACCAATTATGTACGTGTATCATTAATACAATAGTAAACTTTTTGTAATTATTGAAAACAAAAACTTCTTTATAAGCAAGATATATCATTATTATATTACATTTCGTACAATAAGATTTTATTAAAATTTTGCATCAATTTTCTAAATGAAAATAATTCAAATAAAATTATGTTCCTTTTACATTAACATTATAACATAGTTGATAATTAAGTAATTTCCCAATTATAATGAATAATTATTACATAAAAAATTTTTTTTTATTATTTCATATTTCTCCTTCTTCTACATTAATAAGTTTACATGTATTATGTTCTACACGACATAATTGCTAATTATCATTAATTTCCTACACTTTCCTTATTAATATAAACTTTTAATATGAATATCTTATTACATAAATTTATCTTATAATAAACAATTTTCCATTAGTAATTATTTTACAAAAATATATACCAACAATATATAAATATATACCTAAATTACAGTAAGGTCCTCTACAGTTAAAAAAAAGGAAAATACTGAAAATGCCCATAAAGATTGGTCACATTTGTTTTGGAAATAGTTCTTTTCGAGACTTCAAGCTGTGCACTTCTTCTGGGTCCAGTGTGGTTGGAACATTCCCTCCAACAAATAAGTTGAATACACAAGTGTCAACTTTTGAAGCCACAACATTAGAATTAGGTATTTACAAATTATTTATATTACATAATACAATGCAATTAGTATAATGAAACTACTTTTTTCCTGTTACATTCATTTCAATATATCAATTCTAATATTTTAAAAACTTATTTTAGTAATACATTCTTTTACAATATAAATAATTATATTTCTGTAACGTAAAAATATTTACTACATTATTATATAAATATTGCAATTAAAATATATCATTTTTCCTTCAAAGAATAAGTAGAAAAAATATAAGTAAAAACAATATAAACGAATATGAAATTGAAATCAATTTATACCTTTATTTTATACGGATTAAATTATTTTAATCGGGATGTGTTAAAATTTATTCCGAGTTGCCACCAATATTTATTTTTCTGTTTTTCCCTGATTTCCAGAAGGAATTAAAAATTTTTCCCTCTGCCAAATGAAAAAATTTCAAGAGGTTTGCAATTTTAAAAAATAAGACAATATATTTTCAAAGTATAAATTTTAAATAAAATTTTCAAAAAACATAATTTTTATTGCATTTTTAAAATATTAATATCTCTTAAGTACTTTTCATAAAATTCCTTGACTTTTCAATTTAAAATCTCCTAAAATTTAATTATAGTGCAATGAATGAAATTTATATTGAAATAAAACACTTTATAAAATTTGTTTTTATGCATATATCATTATATTATTTATCATATATTATTTAATGTAAAATATTAATTCTCTTTTATTACGTTAATGAATTCATTTTAAATTATCTTCATGAATTTATTTTTCTGAAATTCATTATTATTAAAGTTCAATTTTAATTAACAAAATTGTAAGTAATTTAGTGCATTTCTCACATTTCATTAATACTATTTATATATTATTTCTTTTGTAAATGCATAGTTAGTTATTTAAATACGGTAACTTCTTCAAAAAAAAAATTTTATTAATGAAAAATAAAAAAAAATTATAAATTTTTTATAACATTACTTCCACAATAATAATTTTTTTATTTAATGCTTCATTTTCAATATATTTTAACATAGAGAAAATATATACGTATATTTCTATTGAGAATATTCTATTATACATTTTCTTAACACGTAGGCTTTAAAAGATTTTTGTGCAGTCGTAAATTTAGGGACATAAACATACTTCACGCTGCGATTTCTTTTCAATCATTCCAAAAACATATTTCCCTTAAGAATATCATTTTACAATTAACTTATCCGTTCATTTTTTTTTCTTTTTGTGAAATAGTTATTTATAAGAAATATGTTACATTGCAATTGACAAACAAAATTTTTAAATAAATTTTTTTTCGTTTTACTAACTTTTATGAAAAAATTAATATTTGATTACTGTTACATATCATATTTAAAATTTAAATATAAAAAAAATTAACTGTCAATTATAAATTTATTATTTCATTTAATTCAGAAATGTATTTATTTACAAAATTTCATTTTTACTTCAAATAATTACTACAAATGTATTTTATTTTACTATTGAATAATAAATACATATTCAATATTTGTAACATGAATTAACTAATATAATAATTACAAAGAATGAAAGAAATAATTTTATTTACTTTACTACTGATAATTACAATATTTAATTTGGATGTAAAATGTTATAATATACATAAGAATTTTCTTTTTTATACAGTGTTCGTGGCAGAGAATATACCGAGAAGAAAAGCTTAATAACATGGGAGACAGTGGTATATGAAAATTTTTTAAAAGTTCTATTGCAAAATTTTACATAAACTAATAAATTGAAATTAATTCATACATTTCAGATTTATTAGAATAACTAATATATGTAAAAATTCTTGAAAAATTGCCTTCTTCAAGTTATTAATTGAAGTAACTAATTTCAACTTTCAGTTTATGAAAAATTTTATTAATAAGTCATTTCATTATATATTCCCTAAAATTGTTACCGAAACTTTTAAAAATTATGATACTTTGTAGGAATGTTGTAAAAGGTATTGAGATCAAGAAATGAAAAGATTTGTATTACAATTTTTATTATTAGTTTAAATTATTAATTTAAAATGGAGTAGGTGCTGAAAAATGAAAGTTTTTTAGTCACCAAAAAATATTCGAGAAACCGTATAATTAATCGCAGGTGTAAAAAAGATTATTGGAATTTATTAATAACGACTAAATTTATTATTAAAACTTGCTTTAAGTATTTAAAAATATTAAATAATAGATATATGAATTTTAGATTTCTTGAAATTTTGTGTTTTTCTTCTTTAAAAGTTTAAACAACTTGGAAAATGAAATTTCCACTTTGCAGATTTTCGCAATATTTTAACTTGAATAACTTTTTAACAGTATGACAACAAAAATTTTGGATATATTGAAATAGACAATAAGTACACATACATCAAAAGTTTCGCGTTGGTTTCCTTAATATTTTTTATTATAAAAAAATCAAAGTTACTTACTTTTTATCGAAACTAAAGAAATTTTGATTTCGAGTTGGTTTTCAAACAATTCCTTAGGGGTCGTCCATAAATTACGTAAGGCTTTTTTTTGAAAATTTTGACTCTCCCACCCCCCTTTGTAAGACACTTTTACATATATTAGCGCCATTTTTTCTGCTGGTCGTAAGAAATTGCTTGACCACCCTCCCACCCTGAAAGCCTTACGTAATTTATGGACTACCCCTTACGATAAAAGAAATTAAAAAATTTTTTTTTTTTTATCAGAAATAAATAAATTTTGATTTTCTTTTACCTTAAAAAATAGCTTGAAAACCAACGCGAAACTTTTGGTCTGTGTGTATATAGTGTTAAATATTCTCATAATCTCATATTTTTTCGTCCTGCAGTAAATAACTTATTCAATTTCAAATATCGCGAAAATCCGCAAAGTAGCAATTTCATTATTTCTAAACTCTTAATACTTTTCAATAAGAAAAAAGACAAAATCTACATGTTCATCGTAAGAACTTCCTATTTGATAAATATTTATTTCATTTAATGATTCATATTTCTCATAGTTAATCAAAGAATGTCGTAAAATTAGGTTATTTGATAGGTGCTTTTCAAAATCATATTTCATCTATTCCTCAATATGTATCTTTAAATACTTTAATCAATTTATAATAATAAATTTAGTCATTCTTCATAAATTCCAATAATATTTCTCACACTTTTCTGGTTAATTATAAGTTTCTTCGAATATTTTGTGCTGGCTAAAGAACTGTCGTCTTTGAGCACCTCGTACATTTGAAAATTAATAATGAAATGACCCTAATAATCAATTAAAGTTTCACACTTAAATAACTTACAAACTTCGATCTGATGGATTAACCTTAAAGTCATTAATCCACATACCATTTTAAAACCCGATAACTAAATTAAATATTTAATTAATGAAATAAAGTTTAACAATTTGCTTTTATTTTTTAGAAAAAACTGCTTCTTCTTCTGATTTAAGTATGAGTCCTACCG